TGATCTTTAGAAATAATGGCACAGCTTAAGAATTTGCCTTTTACTAACACCCACTGCATACCAGCTAACTCACTTATCCGGAGAACATCAGTGACACATTGGGAACAGAAATATGTACATTGAATATAGGAAACACCAACCCGGGTCGTTGCCACACAAGCGCACTCGCTTTACCAATTGTGTCACCATGCAGACATGCACCGTGCAAAGCTGGGGTTACTTTGTTTTCTTTCTATACTGTTACAAGTGCTACGATAAGCAAACAGATTTTTTCCATCAGTGACAGCACAAATTATATGGATTTAAAGACTGTGAAACGCCGAGAAAAGTCTTAATATACAGTGGGTACGGAAAGTATTCAGACCCCCTTAAATTTTTCACTCTTTGTTATATTGCAGCCATTTGCTAAAATCCTTTAAGTTAATTTTTTTTCCTCATTAATGTACTTCTATATTTATGTAAAGCTGCTTTGCAACCAGAAAATGTGAAAAACACTACAGAAATAAATTTGAAGTGTGGTTAAATTATTTAAAGTATTTTTATTTATTTATTTATTTATTTATGTGTTTGTTTGTTTGTTTGTTTGTTTATTTTGTGCTCAGAGAACACCGTTATGAAAATCACTTTTAACAGGTTTCAAACATGTTGTAGATGGAATTAAGAACCTAGCCAGTGTACTTTCTTAAAGATGAATATATATTTCATCCTTCCCCACTGCATTTGTAAAGGTATACTATTTAAAAAAAAATGAATTAATGAATAGTGCACTAAGTTTGTGCTTGATGGAAGCATGAAATAACTACATTTTACAGTGCATTTTCAGTTAGTAGACATGTCAATCTATTTTTAGTATACTTATCATGAAATAAATATATTTTAAATACAATTCTGTATTAGGGTAGTTATTGCACATGCATGAAAATAGCTTCTGTGTAGAAAACAACAATAACAAGAGACTGCATTGTATGTGTCCTTCATAGAGAAGGTATTCCCTTAATGCATCACAACAATTTATAACAAAACAAACTGATTATAAACAGTTACCGAGACATACTGTTAAAATAGTTCAGTGTAGTTACAAATTTATTATGTTTCTTAAGCACATCTCATTTGAAAAGCTGGAGCATCCATTTCACTGTACCATTACCGCTCTTCCCTTTTCTCTTCCTCACACTCAAAGGACATTCATGTCACATTTTAATTTCATTCCAATCAGCCAAACGTCCATATTACCATCTGAATTTTACTCGAGGTGATCATATCTAGCAAAGAGTCCCGTGGTGATGCATCAGGACCAGAATGACACAGAAAAGTGTGTGTCACAGATTTCTCGAATATGAGTCAGTATGGCCACGATCTGGTAAATTGCATTGGCAAAGCTGCAATTTAGGGAAAGCCGCCATTTGAAATGAAAATGTGCCTGTGAGAATTTGGATCATGCAGATATCCAAGGGCATTTGGATATTCGTTTTAACCTCTCATACCAGGCACTCTGGGGCGACAACATTTCTGACACATGGATGAAGACGAATAGATAATTTGAAAAGGCGTTCATTATAAAAACACATTGAGAAGGGAGATTGCACGAGGATGTGTGTCACATCTGTGAAATGATGACATGAATCATATCAAGCCAAAGATCGAAATGGCACACCTGGACATCAGCCACCAAACCCTATTTGGTGGCCCTATTATGCTAGTGCATGCTAATGCAGACCATTTCTTAAAATTCTGACAACCCATAAAGCCATTGTTTGTTACATAAAGAACGATTCTGAAAATAATTCCTTGTGACCGATTTGGAATGTACAAATACCAAAACTCACACGAAGAATCAACTCATTGATTTCAACAGTTAGGGTTAGCATGATGCTAAACTAACAGTAACAATCCAAACAGCATGAAAACATACACACATCTTAAGCTGTGACTTTGAAACTGGATACAGCTCATGTCGGAATTTTATGAAAGATACAAAACAGTGTATATAAATAATTTCATGACAATATTAGTGGCACATTGAATAAAAGAAGCAATCCATAGGATTCTTAGGTGCAGAACAACTTTGAACCCACTTCAGAGAATTCATACTCGACTAAAGGTGCTTTGAATTAATATTCATGGTTATTGAATGGCTCATTAAACCAATTAATTATTGAATGTGCTTAAATGTGCTTTCCATAGCATAGATACTGATTTCTTAGTTAAAATCGTGTTAATATTTACCTGTAACTGAAGAATATTCTTTGTGCTCTGTTGTGTACTGCACATTTTGACAAATGGAGTAATGAGCTTTATAAGCTTATGAAAAAGAAGTGCTTAACTGTATTAAATAATTTTTTTTGTATTTTTGTATTAAATTAATTATTGTATTGCACTTGTAGTGTACTTCAAATTGAAAAAGCATAAATAGATAAATAAGGCCACTTAAGTGTACTTAGAATACACACTTTCACGCGTATTTCTTCGCAGTACATTCAGTGCATCTTTAAAGTAGTACCCTTATTTTAATGTGTTGACTAGCATACTACTTAATAATACTTATCAGAATTTTACCTGTAGTGTGTTTTTCAATATTACATTGAAAGTAAATATATTTTAAATGTAATGAATTGTGGCGTCATCTTTACAAATGTCTAATTACAGATGCATTTAAAAATATGACATACAAGTTTCAGTAGAAATCACATCAAAGTATATTTTAGTTTACCATAAATGCTTGTCAGTACATTCAGGAGTAACACTTTAACCACATTTCAAGAGACAATAGAAATAATTATGAAATTACGTATTCAATTAACTTACATCCTAATGTGACTCAAAAAAGCACTCTTAAAGTTCAGCTAATTATATTTAATATAAATTTAAACTATAATACATTTAATTGCAATTAACATGCAGTTAAGTGCTTGAAAACATTACATTCAGTTCACACTTAACTTTAATTCAGCTATGAGGTCATGCCGTGACGTATTGATCTTCTGTTGGTCACACGAAATGCAAAACTTGTTCACATTAGCTTGCGTTTCACTCTCTTGCATTCGCATGCGTATGGAAGTCAATTAAATGAAAAGTGCAGTGTGACCACACCTTAAGTGATACTAAATATAGGTAATACGTATTCAGTGTGTGAACTGCGAGACTCACACTGTTAGCACACACTGAATGACTCCCAGTGGTCCAGACTTCAGTTCTTTACTGTCCACACAGCTCACAATCGCTCATATTCAGAGAGCATCAGGCAGAGGTAATACAAGGCCTCAGGAGGGTCTCTCTGGTCATTGACCGTGTGTTTGAAGAGCGCTGAAGGGCCGCTCGGGCCCTCAGGGTGCATTCTGAGGTCTTGCTTTGTTAACTGCCATGTTACAAGCCTCCTGACTGCGTAGATTATAGCTGGCAGATTGTTTTTCCAATCTCTCTGCCACCTGATGTATTGTTATTGAGCATCTCTATGGACAGCAAAACATTCAGCCATATTTTGTTAGATGTGGCAGTTGTGGTGTGTGAATGGTGCTTTAGGGGTTATCGTACTATTATGTTACAGTACACATGCATAACATTCCCTAATATGCTTATAATGCATAAGTAATCAGTACGGTGTTCAATGGAATTTTACTGGCAAAATGTGTATTGTTGTGTGTAAATGTGGACCTGTATTTGGGATGGGGCCCTCTTCTGCAGTGGTTCCCAACCCTGGTCCTGCAGTATCCCCAACAGTAGATATTTAGGACGTCACTTTTATCTGTCACACCCATTTTAAGCCTTGGTTACGTTTACATGACAACGATTGTAGTAAAAATGGAAATATATATATATTTTTTTCATTTTGGAAAAGTTTTGCGTGCAGACGATACTGCATCATTCATGCCAGGCCAGTAGTTGACTAACTACTCTAATGAAAAATGAAAAATGTAATGAAAGAAATACGCACCTATGCACATATCTAAAAATCTGAACTTGTAATACAAATTCATATTCTTGTAGTTTACACAGAGACGATAACGATTTTGTTTTAAAAAATGTTGCACTTTGAAACCCATTTTCAAAGCATTTTCAGGCTCCCAAAACGCCAATGAAAGGCCAAAAACGCATAAAAAGTTGTCTGTTTTTAATTGAAAATGGTGTCACGTAAACACCCCCTTGCAGGGCCGTAGCGGGGGTTCGCGGGGCCCTGGTGCAGGTTGTTCCCATGGGCCCTGTTTGAAATTCTCTTCTCTTCTACACGGAGGTTCACTGAGGTTCTATCAGAACTACTATTGTCAGAGCCACAGCCTTGTGGAAAGTGCTCCAAAAGATAGTGTAACAGCCATAGACTGTAAAAACATGGACGTAGTGTCTGTGACGTCACTCGTAGGTTTCTGAAGAGCATTTTTGAAGCTCAAAGTGGGCGAAGCCAGCCGTTGCCATCTTGGCAGCGCGTCACCGTGCGTCACTCCCGGACTATTGAAAATGGGTGAAGAGGCGGGAGCTGGTTGCTGTAACCACGCCCACCTAGCTCGACGGTGGTGACAGCAGCGGCAATCCACCTGTCACTCAAGTGGCCACGCCCTTAATTATGCAGAACTTAAAGGCTTAATATAATTTAAACTGATGAGTTATAAAAAAAATCACCCCCCTCCCAGTTGTCATGAAGGGCAAAATTAGTTATATAGATCAAAACCAATTTTTGTACCAGGCTGTAAACATGTTTTTTTTTCTGCTGTAAAGTTGGGCATTTTAACATGGGGAGTCTATGGGACTGACTCCCTTTTGGAGCCAGCCTCTAGCGGCCAGTCGATGAATTGCAGTTTTAGTCACTTCTGTGTTGGTTCCAAGAGAGAGAGCGGGAGGCTGCCGCTTGAGCGACGAGAGTTTGACTTCTGACTCGTGGTCCTTTCCTTGTCCCACTCCCCTCACCTATCGTTTCCTGTCTTTGCTTGACTGTCCTCTCATAAGAACCTCCAAACATGAATGAAAAAATGGACTCTTTTTGATCTGCTTTTTTTCTCCTTGTATTTCAGTGGGAAGAAATCGGAGAGGTGGACGAAAACTATGCGCCCATCCACACGTACCAGGTGTGTAAGGTGATGGAGCACAACCAGAACAACTGGTTGCAGACAAACTTTATATTAAACCAAGGTGCCCAGCGAGTGTTCGTGGAGCTCAAGTTCACTCTACGGGACTGCAACAGTCTCCCCGGAGGTCTGGGCACATGCAAGGAGACGTTCAACGTCTACTGTTACGAAACCAATGACGAGGAGAGGAGGAATATTCGGGAAAGCCAATACACGAAGATCGACACCATCGCGGCCGACGAGAGCTTCACGGAGCTTGATCTCGGAGACAGAGTCATGAAGCTGAACACGGAAGTTCGGGAACTGGGTCCGTTGACCAAGAAAGGCTTCTACCTGGCTTTCCAAGACCTGGGCGCGTGTATCGCGCTCGTGTCCGTCCGTGTCTTCTACAAAAAGTGTCCTTTTGTGGTCAGGAATTTGGCCCTCTTCCCGGATACTATAACTGGGGCAGATTCCTCCCAGCTTCTGGAGGTGTCAGGGACCTGCGTCAACAACTCGGTAGCTGATGAACTTCCCAGAATGCATTGCAGCGCAGAGGGGGAGTGGCTGGTGCCCATTGGGAAGTGCATGTGCCAGGCGGGCCATGAGGAAGTTAATGGCTCCTGTCAAGGTTGGTGAACATCTTCATTATTATGCAAATGCGAGCGCTGCCGATGCCACACATGTGTGACGTATCCCCTTGAACTGCATCTCTGAATGTCACACACACTGATGAGAACCTGACCTCTTTGTGTGGTATGGGCAGACTGTGACATTCATTTCACAATTTAGTGATTTTACAGTTTTCATTTCTCATGTATTATGGCAGACGGAGTTTATATTTAAGATGTTTATAATGGTTGTGTGTATATTTAAGGTACTTAGAGCACTCGGCAGGTATTTAGGATACTTTCTCAGGCTGGTTAGAAGGATTTACGTGACTCAATGCTGAGAGGTGGTGCTAATCATGGAGGAAATGGTAGAAGTGGGTTGGTAGTGTAACAGCTTTCAGAAAGTGTAAGAATGACAGGCAGATGATTCATTGAGTTGAACAATACAATGAACCTAAGTGGATAGAAGCCCACTTCCTGACGGATATTGTTGAGTCTGTTGTTTTAAATGACACCATTTATTTACACTGCAACAAACTTGCATTGAGACAATCTAGTTTGAAGGTTATGTGAAGCAAAATGTTTGTGCCTCACAAATAATAACTTTTGACAGGAAAGTTTTCTTTTTAGTTACTGTAGGTGGGATCAGTGTGTCTCTCAGAAAACTTATATATATATATATATATACTGTATATAGTACCCATAAATCAATTAAAGAGTTACAAACAAACAAACTAACAATAAATAAATCTAATTAACAAAATTAAATAAAAAAAGGAAAATGTATGAAATGAAACACTACATGTGCTCTACAAAATAAATGAAAACAAAATCATCGGACCCACTTTATATTAAGTGGCCTTAACAACTATGTACTTACATTTAAATTAATAATTTGGTACAATGCAATTATTGTGTACATACATGTTTTTACATTGTACTTATATTTTAAAAAAAAA